TCCAGACTGTCCCCCTCTCACCCCTGGCACCTGTCTTGTTTTTCATCACTTCACATATCTTTGTTAACCAGAGGACTTTAGTGTCAGCAGGTGACAGCCGTTAGAGGGGCATCATCCTGTATCCCCACGACTTGCAGTAGATGCTGCAAAAATGAATGAGGCACAGCCTTGCTCCTCCTGCCATGGGACAACACAGCCTAAAGGCTAACCATGATTAACATGGCTCATACCAAAATCTGCACCCCCTGCACCACTACGGGGCCAACTCTCTCCGGATCTGCTTATTTGTGAATGTTGCTAATCCCACCAGAGCAGCAGCTTCGGAAGGGCAGCCCCTACACCAGTTTCTAACAACACATGGACATCTTTGGCTGGAACAGGATGTGAAATTTCCAAACCAACAGCACCAGTTTCATTTCTCCACTTCGCAACACGGCCCAGTAGTAGGGAGGTGATTCCGGCTCACTGCCCTCAACACTGCCAGGGTCCCATTCCTAGGAAGCCAAGCCCTTGGACTTGAGCTTAAGCACTCCTTGGCATTCCGTAGATGGTGAACTGTGCCAGAGAAAGCTCCTGGGAGAACAGAAGTTGCCAATTGAGAAAATCTATGTGAACAGCACTCAGACATGTAACAGGCACTTACTATGATTGCTTTCTGGTATTTCAAAGAGAAATAATAGCATACAAGACTGGCTTCAGAAAAGCAATGCTGGAATATAAAAAAAAGGGTGTTCCTCACACACACACACACACACACACACACACACACACACACACACATTCCTTCAACGCTCTCCCTCTAGGTATTGTATGAGCCATGGGCCAGCTCCCTTCTACTTCATTCTCTTGTTCATTCATCTTGACCAGAACCCTCCACAAACTTGTTCGTGTGGTTCCCTTTGTCTTGCAACACTGTTCTCTTCTTCCCAAGTGCCTAAATCCTCAAGCTCTGTAGTCCTGTCCTGAATATAGCTCCTTCCTCTGACATACACCCCTCTCTTCTGGGCTGTTGGATGAGCAGTGTCAACATCTATCCAGAAAATCAATCCACCCTGTGTGACGTTCAGAGCAGAGAGCAGGAACGTGTCTTCACAGCTAGTCAGAGACCAAAGCCCAGACAGACAGAAAACTGCAAGTGGAGAGAGAGCCAAGAAGGAGCAAGGCACAAAGACAGACACCCCATGGCCAGAGGCAGGAAGCAGGGGACTGTAACTGGGACCTGATGGATGGGTAGGAATCAGCAGAGCCAAAAGAGCAGAGAAAAAAGTTTTTGAGGCAGAGTGCAGCACGTGGGAAGGTATGAAGGAGTCAGGCAGGAAGGCATTTAACATACTCCAGAGGCCAGATGCAGATCTGGGGACCCCCCCCTCATCTCTGAGGGCTGGAGAAAAGTGGGAGGTGAGGGAACAGGTAGCCTGATGGGGACCAGGCGCTCTGAACCACCATCCCTCGGGTTTATGCTCCCTCCTTTTTCAGAAGTGCCACAGTGCCTCTCTGTTGGTCTCCAGTGCAGAGAAGGCATCAACATGTGCTTGGGGGCTGCACTGTCCCCAGAGACACGAGGAGCCCTCTCTTCCCTCTGCCCATCCCCCTGCCCCAACAGCCAATCCCTAGCTGGCTCCCTTCTCTGAAGCCCTCGAGACTGGTGATCCATCAGCCCAACAACAGACACAGAGAGTGAAACGGGAGCAGCTGCAAGAGCTCCAGTTGCGGCACTGACAAAGGCCACCGAGCACCCAGCTGGCAGCTGTGACCACAAGGTCCCTGGAGACCAGACTCCCAGGGTAAATTTCAATCAGATAGTAACTCTATAGTGTAAAGGCCTGCCAAAGTCACAAGCCCCAAGACCTGAATGATTGGTTTGAAACTCAAAACACATTGTGCAAAACTTAACAGGTTCTTGATTTAAAAAAAAAAAAAATCAAGAACGGCAACTGAGTCAGCAGGAATTGCCAAGTTGCCAAGGTGCCCTGTGTTGCAACTCTGCTGATAAATTAGCCCTTGCCCCAGCCCAGACCTTGGCAATCTGCAGAAACACACAATGTTTCACATCATACTCAGAACTCCTGCTTCCTGGCTAACGGATTCTGAACCAATCTAATTAAACCAATAATCATTTTAGCTAAGGCAAGCTAGGTTTTAACTCCTCTCGGAAGGAAGGGTCAGACAAGGGGACCAAAGATATATTACACATTGTTTGAAGACATCTAAGGAAAATTTAACAAAAAAACACTTAAGAAACATTTGGGGCCACTATTGTGGCACAGCACATTGATGTGCCAGTTACAACACAGGTATTTATTCTGCCTATTAGGGTGCTGTTTCAGTTTCTGGACGCTCTGTTTCCAACCCAGCTCCCTCCTAAAGCAGCTTGGAAAGCAGCAGAAGATGGCACAAGTACTTGGGGCCCTGCCACTCACATGGAAGACCCAGATGGAGTTCCTGGCTCCTGGCTTCAGCTCAGCCCAGCCCTTGCAGCTATGGTTATTTGACAGGTGACTCAGTGGATAAAAGGTCTTTCTCTCCCCTCATCAAGCTGCCTTACAATAAATAAATCTTTTTAAGTTTTTATTTAGTTTTATTGGAAAGTCAGATTTATAGAGAGAAAGAGAGACAGAAAGATCTTCCATCCACTGGTTCACTCCCCAAGTAGCCATAACAGCTGGAGCTGAGACGATCCGAAGCCAGGAGCCTAGAGCTTCTTCTGGGTCTCCTGCGTGGTTCCTGGGTTCCAAGGCTTAGGGCCGTCCTCAACTGCTTTCCCAGGCCACAAACAGGGAGCTGGATGGGAAGTGGGGGCTGCCGGGATACGAACCAGCACCCATATGGGATCCTGGGGATGCAAGACAAGGATTTTAGCCACTTGGCTACCACGCCAAGCCTGAATCTTTTCTAATTGCCTAAGTTACACAGGCTAATGTCTTCTTCGTATTCTTTAAATTTCTTCTTGGAAAATGTCTAAGTCCTGCACTGTAACCTTTCCTACAGGAACTCTCACTTCCCTCTAGTGAGAGGAAACAAGGAGTTCAGACACCTTCTGAAATTCTACTTTGTTCCACATGGTCTTGGCAAACCCCCATTCCTCCTTTCCATTATTTACCCACTTCCTCCAAATTACACTTTGCTGTTTTTATAAGACTCTACAATACTGGGACCAAAGCTGAGGCATAGCAGTTAAAGCTATTGTCTGCAGTGCCACCATCCCACATGGGCACCAGTTCAAGTCCACAATGCTCTGCTTCTGATCCAGCTCCCCACTCATGCGCCTAGGAATGCAGAAGATGGTTCACACTCTTGGGTCTCTGCAAGCATGTGAGAGACTGACTCGGATGAAGCTGTGGCTGCAACCTAGCCTAGCTCTGGCTGTTGCAAGCCATTTGGGGAGTAAACCAATGGATGTAAAACCTCTCTCTCTGTAGTTATACTTTTCAAATAGACAGACAGAAAGAAACATGTTTTAAAATCCTACACTAGGATTTTATGGTATCTGTTATGATCCTTAAGTATATATTTGTGTGTGTTTGGTTAACATTTAAACCTCTCTTACTCCCCTGCCTCCAAAAGCACACCTGGAAAAGGCTTCCTGCCACCAGGAACTAGGTCAGTGTGACAGCCCTGTATCCAGAGCCTAGAACAGCCCAGCATGTGGCAGAAGCTTAGCATGTATGTGTCAAATCATAGCTTGTCTTGAGGATTTTTCTAACGAGGCTATGACTGCTAGTTTTTGGGAGACAGACTCCCAAAGAAAAAGACAAAGAAATTCCAGTCATTACCACGTTTCTTCTTGTCTGCTCCAGCCCACCTACTCAGACTGTTGTTTTATCCATTCTACTGATCTTCAAAATGTCCCTGACAGGTGAGGTTTCGCTTCTTCTTTTAAAAAATGATTTATTTTTATTTATTTGAAGAGCAGAGTTACAGGGAGAGAGAACAGATAGAGAAATACATCTTCCATCCACTGGTTCACTCCCCAAATGGCTGCAGTGCCTGGGACTGGGCCACCAAGAAGGCCATAGGAGCCAGGAGCTTCATCTGGGTCTCCCCCACGGGTGCAAGGGCCCAAGCCATTGGACCACATTCCAATGCTTTCCCAGGTGCATTTATAAGAAGCTGGTTCAGAAGTGGAGCAGCTGGGACTTGAACTGGCACCCATGAGGTGCTGGCCTTGCAGACAGCAGCTTAATCCATCAGGCCCAAGAATGCCAGCCCCATTCCATCTATTTCATAGACAAAGAACCCCAAGTTCCAGAGAGGCTCCTCACAGTCAGATAACTGGTACCACAATTAAAACCCAGCTCAGGCACGATAACCCGTGTCTCTCTCTCACAGGCTACACATTCCCCAGCAGCATACACAGCCCTGACCGGTGTGCACACGCCTCCCCCAAGGAGCAGAGGCACAGCCTCCACAGAGTGGACAAATTCCCCTGGCACATTCCTGCAGGCCTTGGAGAAACCACAGGACAAAGTGTGGTCCTATTTTAGTATTTTTTTCCCTAATACTAAACAACATCAAGTATTTTTGTATTAAAAAAAAAAACCACAGATATGCTTTGAAGTATAATAAATGCAAAGGAATTATAAAAAACAAAGCACAGAAGTCAAAAGGACTTTCACGCCTGCTGCCCAGGCCTGACGCAGGGAAACACCCGGCTAGCCACCTATTGGTTAGCCTGTCTTCCTCCATCTCATGCCCCTTTTCCTTTCTGCTATATCCCTCAAAAACCAGCGTTCCAACTCCATCTTCACTTCCCACTCCCACCCACCTTTCACTAGGAAAATTCAAATATTTCAAGAAAACATCAGCGTGCCAGGGACAAGCATGTTATTTTCTAAAGCAACTCAGAACAAGTTTTTGTAGGTGCAATAAATCTGATTGATTTTTATTACACATCTTAGCTTAGAATCACTTTTACATTCCTAGACAAAGAGATGATACAAATAAATATCAACTGTAAAACTCAGAACCCCAAGTATTGGCATATTCTTCGCCTAAAGGTAGCCAAAGAGAAGGTTAAGATCCACATGAACTCCAAGGAGCCGTGCTGCCCACACGCCTCCTTGCTTGCCCGAGATCACTCCTTTCAGAAATAACTGCTACAGCATTTTCTTCAAGAAACAAGGGCGGGGAGGAAGCCCTGCAGGACAGATAATAGCCTGGCCCCTTATTCTTAGCTCGTGCCCCCACAGTATTTTCGTATGGCTTTTAGAGTCTATTACTAGCCCCACCTTTGTCCACGGATGATGTTAAGACAGCCCAAGGTGTGGTGGTGCACAGCACACTGAGTTCAGGGGGCAGACACGAGGCAGAACTGATCCCCCATGTTAACCGCGACTCGACACTTCTCAGGAACTTGGCAACAATTCTACATTCGGCGAGAGAGGACTTTACAAGACAGGAAAAGCAGAGAGCCACCCATGCCTGGGCTGCAGCACCCTCCAATGCCCTTGGTCCTGGTGGGGTGGGTGGGACACTCAGGTAGCATGCAGGCCAAAGGTGGGACAGTCCAGCGTTGAGTCACAGTCTTTAGAAAGTGCTTCATGCCTGTGAGTTGAGGCCTTGGGTTCTGAATCCAGGGGCCTAGGAGGACTTTAAAAACAGGAAGCTGGACACATTCAACAAATCAGGGAAGGAGGGATCTGATGGGGGCCGCGTGTGGTCACCACCTCTGCCTCTCAGAGGTCACCCCAGATCCGGGTAAAGACCTGTTTCCACACCTCACTGGCTGCTGATGCTACTGACAAAAGAGCCCTCAGATGGCCTGGACCATCCTAGCAGGACTAGAGATCTAAAGACCTAGTCCTCTGGTGGGCTTGGTAGGTCCTATAACCACTTGGCTCCGTCTAGAGCCCAAAGCAGCAGCCTGTGATGGCAGTAAGACACTCCACCATCTGCTCTATTCAAATTTCTAGGGGCTCCATTCTGAGAGCAGAAAAGCACCAAAAGCTTCCCAGCAAGGGGCAGGTAGCTTCATTTCCAAGGAAGGGTTTTACAGACTAGCCCGTGAACTCCAGCTTGTACAAGGCAAGCTTGTTTCAGTCAACCGCATTAGTAATCTGGTTTTCTTCTTGGCTTTCTCAGAAAAGTTCCCTGTGTCACTTAACCAGCCTTGGTCAGAAGAGCATCAGTATGAAGGGTGAGTGTAATCCGCAGTCTTCCGTGCTGAGCTCTGTGACATGGGCATGTTCCAGCTTACAGAGTTCAGATTAGCTTTGGGGAAAGGTGACGTCACACACACGTCATCAGCAACTGGCCAGCTGGGGTTGCACACCCCTTCATCTGCCACCGAGTCAGACATGTGTTCAGTGAATAACAGAGACTGGGTTAGAGCCCAAGAAAAGGGAGGGAAGATTCTGGAAGCTATGGGGACTGTTGCCAAGGACCCTGGTTCAGAAAAATGGTGACTGCAAACAAGATGGGCTACTGGGTGACAGATGTTTGACAGAATGCTGACACTGCACTTGGTACCTCCTCTTTTTCTCATGGATTCTGATCCAGAAATGTGCCCTGGGAACCGAGCAGCTCAGTTAAACTCTAACTCCGGCCCACCTGAGTCACCACCTCCCTGAGGCACCGTGCCAGCAAGGTGCACCAGTGTGGCCGACCTAGGGACTATTACTGTCCCCTCAGGTGTGGCTCCCAGACTCAGACACCCTGGTGGGAGCGCTCCCAGCCAGCTTAGTCATTCAATGGCCCTTTAGCAAAGACAAAGGCAACAACTACACATCAGGGGATTTCTGAAATGGGGCAAGTTCTCCACCTTCCTTGCTCTCTTACAGACACACGCGCAGCCACACTCACAGGACACAGGCACTAGTGCTTTGCACGCCCACACACATTGATGAGCTTCTCCTGGGGGAAAAATAAGGAACATTCACCTAATGACCAACATAACATGAAGCTTTGAATCTCAGTAATACAAAAACGCAAACTTTCAAACCAAACTAGTCTATGTAGATGGGAATTCGGAACTCTCTTCTTTGAGCCTGTTTGAGTCCACAGCTGCTCCTGGCCAGCATTTGGGGCTCCCCCTGCAGACAGCCCCAGCTCAGGACTCGCAGCATTCTGCACAAGGTTGGCAGGATTCCTTGCCATCCGTTGGCTGGACCTGCCCTTTCCACTGTACTGACTCCCCTGGCTTTTCTGTGACTACCTAGTTACTTCTGCTCCCTGCCAACAGGCAACAAAGTGGGGAATGCCAAAGTGCACCCCATGTTTCAGTCCCCACCTCTAGTCCATCAGAGAAGGCAGAACCAGCCTCCCTTCTCCCACAAAGCACTCCCAATGCAGAGCATGCCTTGGAAGTGGAGGACCCCTGCACAGACGCAGAGAGCATGCGTGTCTGGGCAACAGAGGTGACAAAACAAGACTATAGAGTGACGCGGTGTATGGACATGGTACCAGCTACAGACTTCAGTCTCAGATGGGATGGTCCCAGACTTGAGGTTTTAAAGAAGCTGTTTCCCTACGCTCTTGGCAGAGACAAAGGGAATGGTGCTTCGATTGCTACTGACATGGAATCTGTCAGAAGCGGGAAGTAGAAGAGAGCGCCTCACGCAGGACATCCCAAAGGCAAAGCCACTTCTAACTGGGGTGCAGGGAAGAACTAGATGGCTCAGGACCCCCCCCCCACCACACACACACACAGGGCATGGGTGCAAATGTGATTTTTCTTGGTTTTTCTAAAGCATGGGCCCTGTTCAAGTTCTCCAAGCTTTCATTTTGCAACCTCACTGTCAATTCTATCCTGAGGCTCCAAAGGGTCCTGCTGGGGTGACTGCCCTATTGTTCAACAAGAAGGGAGCCCAGTAAAAAGAACAGGCTGAAAAAGGAGAGAGGATAGTGATGGGGTGGGGGCGGGGAGAAGGGAGAGGAGAAGCAAGGTCACTGGTCATTCTCTTGCTCTCCGCTTGGATGATCGCGCTAGACCTTACCCATGCATTTCTGAGATGCTAATTAAAGTTGCTGCCCAGAGGCGCTGCCACCATGTCAAGAGCAGCATGTTCTACCAGATCAGGCTGGTGACTCCAAGGCCATGGCGTCTCCTCAGGGAAACGGTGTGGAGCCAGGGCTCCAGTCCTCCTTGCCGCTTCACGCTGGTCTCTGCTCGCGGAAGGCAAAGCCTTTTGCACCCTGGGAGAGGCAGTGCCAGCCTCTACTTTGGGACCAGCCCCCGAGACTGTGGGTAAAGCTGGGATGCAGGGGTTCCTGAGGAAGAGGAGGAGGAGGATCCCGACTTCCTTCCGCTCTTAGGCCTGCAAAAGGCAAGCACACGTTGACAAGGCATGTCCCTTGGGCCCTGACACATCAAGGCCCAGAGTGTTCCACTGCGCTTTTCCCTTAATGGTCAGATGGCTAGGACACTTTCAACTGCTGACACCACAAGGCTGGCCTGGCCTGACCCTTTGGCCTGGCCTCCTTGGCCTGCCAACAGAGGGTTCCACAGTTGCTCTTCCATTATAATCACAGTGTGCCAATCTATCCATATCCATATAAATATAAATATTAGGTTTGCAGGCAGAACTTCTTCCATCTCTGACTTTCTACTCAGTTGACTTTCTTAGATGTCTGCTCCAGAATTTAGTAGCACAGAATTCCTTATTTTTGCACAAATGGCAAGTTGAATTTAGTATTGAGACTCAGAGCCTGGACTGCGTCATTGAGAAAGACCCAGCTTTGAATTCTACCTCTGCCACCTACTTTTTGGCATTTTGTTACACCTAGCTGCTTTCTCAATTCTCTTCAGTTTGTTTTCTTATTTGTAAAATGGATGGATGCTAATAACCATCTTACACATTTTTGCAGCAATTCATTAAGAGAATCGTTGTGAAGGTATTAAAGCACATGGCCCCTGGTAAGAACTGAAGAACTGACTCTACCTAACAGGTGCAGACAGGGTGCACTAGGTATTCTGGAATTCTGTAGGCCAGGTGCAGTGTCTCACACAGAAATAGCTGTGGAATCAATGAATCAATGCAACGTTTTCCAACGTTCCACAAGGAGCTCCCACATAGAGGGGCATTCTCACTGCATCCTGCCTTGGTTTGTCCTTGCTGGAGCACAGTCACCGAGCAGCACTTACCTGGCCTTGGATTTCCTGCTCACAGTGCTTTCAAAGGATGAAGCATCCACCTGGATTTCATCTTCATCCTGCAGAGCCGCATCCAGCGCCGCCTGGACCTTGGGGGCAATGGCCGGGCCCTCGTAGTCTCTGGTGGTCCGGCTGGGCATGTCCAGCTCTAGCAGCACAATGTTTTCTGCCTGCGGAAACACAGCCACCTAAGTTGGCCTCCGACCAGGTACGGAGACTACAGGCGATCCAGCCTCTGCTGGAGAGCAGAATTGCAAGCCACCACACTGACCCTACCAAGAACCTGCCTCGAACATGGAATACAGCTTTGTAATTTTTTTTTTCCTGGCAAATGGCAGGTGATTTTTTTTTTCTCTACACTTTTCTCTATTCTTCTAGTAAGAATTCATCTGTTACAGATGATTTGAACTTACAGAATGGAATGAGAAAAACACCACTACAGCAGCTGCGCAGAGGAGGCACTCCAGGGACACGTATGGGGAGGGTGTGCACGGCAGCACACAAAGGCAAGGAAACACATTCTAAGACCAGATGGGAGGGGCCTGCGCTGTGAAGCAGCAAGTTAAGATGCTGCCTAAGGTACTGCCATGCCATACGGGTGCTGATTCAAGCACTGCATGCTACCTTTCAATTACTCCTTGCTAATGTGCCTGGGAAAGCCGTGGAAGATGGCCCAATGCTTTGAGCCCTCGTACCCATGTGGGAGTTCTGGAAGAAGCTTCTGGCTCCTGCCTTCAGTCTGGCCCAGTCCCAGACACTGGAGCCATTTGGGGAACTAGCCAGTAAAATGAAGAACTCTTCATTTTAAATTTTTATTGGAAAGTCAGATAGACAGAGAGGAAGATCTTCTGTCAGATGATTCACTCCCAAAGTGGCTGCAACGACCGGAGCTGAGCCAATCCGAAGCCACGAGCCAGGAGCTTCTTCCAAGTCTCCCACACAGGCACAGGGACCCAAAGCTTTGGGTTGTCCTTGACTGCTTTCCCAGGCTACAGGCAGGGAGCTGGATGGGAAGTGGGGCTGCCGGGATTAGAAGTGGCGCCCATATGGGATCCTGGTGGATACAAGACAAGGACTTTAGCCATGAGCCTGCAGACGGGCCCAATAAAAAATTTTTATATAAAATCAGAAAATTTTCAGTAAATTAAAAAGGTATAGTGTCCTAATATTAAAAGATTCCTGGGCATGGATACAAACTGGCACACACACGGGATGTCAGCATTGTAGGCAGTGTGTCCAATCTGCAGTATTACAATGCCATCTCATCTTGAATACAGGTGGGCATCTTGCCTAGAGCCTGAGTCAGGTGCATCATGGTTCAGAGGACCTGGCTAGAGTCCTGTCTCCAGTTCCATTTCTAGCTTCCTGATACACACCCCAGAAGGCAGTAGGTGACGGCTCAGGTACCTAGTGTCTTCTCCCACTTTTGGGAGATCTGGATGGAGTTCCTGGCTGCTGGCTTTGGCTGAGGGCCCATCTGAGCAGGGTGAGTCAGCACATGGGATGTTACTGTCTGCTTTGTCTCTCTGATTTTCAAACCAATGTTAAAATAAGTACTAAGATCAGACTGGCCCTACCTCATGCTCGGCCTTGTAGGCTGAATTCATCACTTGACAACCTGTGGTGAACCCTTTTGGGGTGTGAGGCCGAGTATCTGTTGAGGGGCGGGGAGAGCACTCATGGCCATACGCCACCTTCCCCGCTGGCTTTTTGCAGTTAGTGGAATCCAGCCTCAGGGCTCCGGATGGAGTAGGGTGGAGTGGGGGGGGTCACTGCAGGAGAAATGTGGGTAAAGGAAGTGCTCTACTGATGAGTACTAGATGCTAAACGAGTGCATAAAATCCTTGCTGCAGTAGAACCAGTGCTGAGAGCACCTGACAATCACAGCTGTAAAGTCTGCGTTTGGATGAGGCCAGTCCTGGGAAGGCCATAAATAATCTGATTTGTGGGCTTTTTTTTTTTTCTTGGAAGATTTATTTATTTTTATTGGAAAGCCAGATTTACAGAGAGAAGAAAATATAGTAAGTGAGAAAGATCTTCCATCTGCTGGTTCACTCCCCAAATGGCCATAACAGCCTGAGCTGAGCCGATCCAAAGACAGGAGCCAACAGCGTCTTTCGAGTCTCCCATGTGGGTGCAGGGTCCCCAGGCTTTGGGCCGTCCTCTGTTGCTTTTGCAGGCCACAAGCAGGGAGCTGGATGGGAAGCAGGGCTGCCAGGATTAGAACTGGCACCCAAATTAGATGGTGACACTTGAAGTGCAGGATTAGACTCTTGAGCTAATGCGCCAATCCTGATTTGTGGGCTTCAAAATTACATTTTTGGCTTCAGCAAGATATACCCCCAGTGAAACTGCTAGAAAAGTGCTTCTAAGGGCCCGGCGCGGTGGCACAAGTGGTTAAGGTCCTCGCCTTGCACGCCCGGGATCCCATATGGGCGCCGGTTCTAATCCCGGCAGCCCCGCTTCCCTTCCAGCTCCCTGCCTGTGGCCCGGGAAAGCAGTCGAGGACCACCCAAAGCTTTGGGACCCTGCACCCGCGTGGGAGACCCGGAAGAGGCTCCTGGCTTCGGATCGGCATAGTATCGGCCGTTGTGCTCACTTGGGGAGTGAATCATCGGACGGAAAATCTTCCTCTCTGTCTCTCCTCTCTGTATATCCGCCTTTCCAATAAAAAATAATAAAAATAAATCTTTAAAAAAAAAAAAGAAGAATCCTCCTTTGGCCTCGACATTTAGAGGGTAAACCAGCAGATACAAGATTTCTCCCTCTCTTTACCTGCCTCCTGCATTCTCTCTCTCTCTCTGCCTTTAAAATAAAGTTTTAAAAAAGAAGAAAATTGAGTATATTTTCACCAAGAGGAACTAACCAGTTCATACTTTGATATATTTTATACCATACTTTGTAATTCACATACGTACTCCCAGTTCTACTTGTTTTACAGCTGTCCCATGGATTCTTCACTACAAAGCCAAATGCCCCTCTATGGCATCTTTATTGTCAAATATTTCAGGCAACTAAAAGAATCCCCAATTTATGTCACCTCAAGCGACCACGACTGACACATATAATGCTCCATGGAAACAGTCAAAGTTCTTTAGCATACGTCCATCGCCCACCGTGTAACACTGAGGTTTTTCCTATTCTTCCCACAGAGCCACCTGGAAGTTTACTGTCAATGGCTACTGGCCACTAACAATAGAGTAATTGTACTCCCATCCTTCCCCAGGTCTGACGTGCCAAATCTCATACTTTCTAATCTTTTTTTTTTAAAGAATATTTTTAAAAGATTTATTTATATATCCAGAAGTCAACGTTACAGAGAGAGAGAGAGAAGGATGGCCGACAGTCCTCTCACCCGGTATCGGGCTTCTGGTCGAATCATCATGGACATTCTTGCATGTTGGCTCAAGGGTCTCTTGTATCCCACGGCAGAGACTGGTCGCTTCATCATCTGCTGATTCCTGGAGATGGATGGCAGAGGTTAAAGGCCCGGCTGGACTGTGTCCTGTAGCCCCAGGACCAGGGCTCTCAGAAGCCAGCCACTCCCTGGTCTGAGGGCTGACACGAGTGGGATGAGAGCTGCCTATGTTTTCTGCTTGAGCTGCTTTCCAGCTGGGCAGACACAGAGCACGGCCCTCAGTGCTCCTCGCCTTCCCAGCACGACCCAGACAGACACATTAGACAGTGCTTATTTTGGCCTAGCATGCTTCCTTGGATGGCTGGGGAAAGGGACCCAGGAAAGGTGAGCTTACCAGTGAAAGCTTCCCCACTTCTAACACCACATTCACCAAACTTCTACCTGTGGGATTTCTAGCCGCTATGCAGGCAAAAATGCAACTGGCTCTGAGTTTAACGAACCTATTCTCACCATAGCTCCTGGCCAAGATCTGCTCATGAACCTTCTTCCCCCTCCTCCCCACTGTACAGACTACCAAAAGCCAATAGTGACTTACTCCAGTCTGGTTATTGGATGTAATTTCCAATGATCTTCCTCTTCGTCAAAGAAGGATCTATTCATAATTTTGCTTTTTTCTTCCAGAGGGATAAAGTTTTCTATAATAAGATGCCTGTAGGAGCACACGCGACATGAGTGAATACAAATGAAGAACACATACTGCGGGGTGACTATCTGGTCTCACATAAAGCAAACAGGGAAGAATTAAATCACTCGGCAGATATTCTTCTGAGCTGGTACTACAGTCCCAGCATCATACACGGAGCTGGAATACAGACATGAAGGACACCTGGCCCCTTCCTGAAATGAACAGGGCCGTGCAGCACTCTCAGATCTAAGAGGCGTGTACTGGTCAGTCCAGGCACAGGGAGTGAGCCCCTGTGCCCAGGGAGGAGCAGCTTGCGGAAGTGAATGGACTGAATGGAAGTGAGGCCTGCTCGACAGCTGAGTGAACATCTGTACCCCATGTGTATGTTAGAGGCCATTGGATCTTTCATAGCCAGAGACACTGTGATGCACCCTCACTCTTCAGTGGCCATGAAGGTGTGAGACACCTCTTGGAGGGCATCTCTTCGGAGCCGCTAAACCGGGTCATCACATTTGAAAACGCTAAAGGGCTGGTTAAAAATTAAACTGCCTTCTTCCTGTCTAAGCCTTGCTGCTCGAGCTAGAAAACTTCCCATTGTGATCCACAAGACAAGAAAGGACCGCATCCCTCCCAAGACTGTGAACACAGCCCATTCTGAGAAGGGTCTCAGCCGACACCTGCCAGGAAGCACAGCTACTACGAGGCCGCGGGGAGAGGCAGACGGCTTCTGACCATTGTTTCCTGTCCCATCATCTCTGCCCTCCCTTCCAGGGCCTGCCCATGCCAAAGGGGCGTTCACAGGCAACAGAGCAGGGAGCAGGACACACACCAACAAGGTATAGAAACAGGCTGACTCATTATTTATTCTAATAGAAAAAAAAAAAGACGCAACAATGAAAATCGCTTTCTTAGGGGTTAAAGATATTTGGAGGATACAATCTTCACTTTGTTTTATGTGACATCTTGGGACCCTGCACCTGCTTGGGAGACCTGAAGAAGCTCCTGGCTCAAGTTAGCACAGCTCTGGCCGTTGTGGCCATTAGGGGAATCTACCAGCAGACAGAAGATCTTTCTCTCTATCTCTCTTTCTCTCTGCATATTTGACTTTCCAATAAAAATAAATAAATCTTTACCAAAAAATGACATTTCAGAAATCATTTTTATAACATATACTTGGTTTTCTTCTGAATATCAAGTTTCTACCTATTCATTAGAAAATACAAAAAGTAAAAGTAATCGGGCCCGGCACGGTGGCGCAAGTGGTTAAAAGGTCCTCGCCTCGCACGCCTGGGATCCCATATGGGCGCCGGTTCTAATCCCGGCAGCCCCGCTTCCCTTCCAGCTCCCTGCCTGTGGCCTGGGAAAGCAGTCGAGGACGGCCCAAAGCTTTGGGAACCTGCACCCGCGTGGGAGACCCGGAAGAGGCTCCTGGCTTCGGATTGGCATAGCATCGGCCCGTTGCGCTCACTTGGGGAGTGAATCATCGGACGGAAGGTCTTCCTCTCTGTCTCTCCTCTCTGTATATCTGCCTTTCCAATAAAAAAATAATAAAAATAAATCTTTAAAAAAAAAAAAAAGTAAAAGTAATCTCAATTTTGCCATCCATAGATAACTATTATTAGTATTTTGATTTTTTTTTCAAAGTACACATACCTACAAGGAGGCCTGAATGATACATTTAAGATCTCCTTTCCAAACTTAATAGTATTTTTAAAGATTTATTTATTTCTATCCAAGACAGATTTACATGGGGAGAAGGAGAGACAGACAAGGAAATATCTTCCATCTGCCAGTTCACTCCCCAAATGGCCATAACAGACAGAGCTGAGCTGATTCAAAAACAGGAGCCAGGAGCTTCTTTCATATCTCCTACACAGGTTGCAGGGTCTCAAGTACCTGGGCCATCCTCTGGTGCTTTCCCCAGTCACAAGCAGGGAGCTGGACGGGAAGTGGAGTAGCCAGAATAGGAACAGGTACCCATATGGGATTCTGGCGCTCTGCAGAAGGAAGATTAGTTTCTTTAGCTATGGTGCCAGACCCCCCTTTCCAAATTTAAAACTTGATCATTCAAGGAATCTTTTTGAAAATCTTTTTAAAATTTGTCTTTTAAAAAATTTGTACCAGGCTCAGCACCATTGCCTAGTGGCTGAAGTTTTTGCCTTGAACGTGCCGGGATCCCATACGGGCACCCGTTCTAATCCTGGCAGTCCTGCTTCCCATCCAGCTTCCTGCCTGTGGCCTGGAAAAGCAGTCAAGGACGGCCCAAAGCCTTGGGACCCTGCACCCATGTGGGAGACCCAGAGGAGGATCTGGGCTCCTGGCTTCAGACTGGCGCAGCACCAGTCGTTGCAATCACTTGGGGAATGAATCATCAGACAGAAGATATTTCTCTCTGTGTCTCCTCCTCCCTGTATATCTGACTTTCCAATAAAAATAAATAAATCTTTTTTTAAAAAATCTGTCCCTTCCATCTTCTCTCTGTTTCTCAGGCAGAGAATTCAGAGAGGATCGTCCATCTGCTGGTTCCCTTTCACTGGGTTGGACCAGGCTGAAGTCAGGAGCCAAGAAGTTGTTTTGAATCTCCCACATGGGTGGCAGGAACCCCAGCAAGGGAACCACTATCGGCTGCCTCCCAGGGTGCACTATTAGGGGAAACTAGAATCAAACACAGAGCTGGGATTCTGATAACAAATGGGATGCCTGTGTCCCAAGGGGCATCCTCACTGCTGCACCAAACTCACATTTCTGGAAAAGTTTCCCTTTAATGGAAAGGGTTGAAGATGCTGCCTGCGAGGCCAGCATCACATAAGAGCACCAGTTCAAGTCCCGGCTGCACCACTTCCAACGTAGCTCCCTACTTTGTGCCAGTGAAAATGATGCAGCTGCTTAGGGCTCTGCCACCCACTTAAATGAAGTTGTAGGCTCCTGGCGTCAGCCTGACCCAGCCTTGCCTGTTGCAGCAGCCCAGTGGATAAAAGATCTCAACCTGTTTTGCCCTATTTTGGTAACTGCCTTCCAAACACATGAAATAAATCTTAAAGAAAGGAAAATTCCATGTAATCTTGTTCATCACTGAGTCTGAGTGATGGGGTCTCTCTGGGTGCTTATTAGGGCATTCAGAAAATCTTTATAACGAAAGCCTGTAATAAAATTCTAGACCCTTTAACAGCTTCTAGGGAACTGGGAGATCACCTGACGAAGTCATCCAGCTAACCCAGGCAACCCAGGGATGGAAAACCAATGTCAGAACTAAAGAGAAGCCAGACGGGGTGGGAGACGAGCTCCGGAGAAGCTGGCAGGGGCCCTGAGAACGCCACGACGGTTCTCACGGAATGCAGGCCCTGGCTGGCGTACTTGAGCTTCAGCTCCCTGGTGAGCTCGTTCTGTGTCTGCTCCAGCTCCTGGCGTTCCTTGATGTGCTCCTCCTGCAGGTCGTGGATTTCGGCCTTCACGGCCTGAAGCTTGGAGAAGAGCTGCAAGCAGGGCGGGCGGCAGGTGAGGAGGGCGCCCTGCCAGAGGACGCAGCTCCCCCCTGCCGGCCCCCCACGTCCTCTTCCCTGTTCCTTACCTTTTTGAGTTTTTTGGTCTTGATGTCCACCTCCTGCTGCAATGAGCTGTACGTCTCTTTTAGTTCCAAAGTTTCCTCATCTCGACTTTCCATCTGTTGCTGGATTTCTCTTTCCCGGCGTTTCTGAGCAACATCACAAAATTCATCAGCTTTGCCCTTGAGACTAGGTCTACCCAATAACATGAACGACCTTCAAAAAAGTTCATGGGAAGTGAGTATTACGTAAAATCTATGCGTGGGTTTTTAAAATTTTTTTGCACCAAAATAAATTTTGTCCTTGAGTTCCATTTTTTTTTTCCACAAAACTTCTCGAAGCACCCTCAAGTCAGCCTCCCACCCACGTGAGACATCTTCTCCTTCCCTCTACAGAGAACTGAACGTCACAGCACATCTGCTCTGTAGCTCACACACACCTGAGCCCAGTCTGCCGCCCCTGGAAGAGAATGGACTTACCTGCTCAGCAATTTCCTGTCGCTTCTGCTCCAGAATTTTCTGCTGTTCGTTTGTGTGATCTACTATATTTTTTCCTCCAACAAGCAGCTTACTCTCCATGGCCTGGGGAAGAAACAGTAAAATCCACTTTGTGAACAGTCTCCCTCAGGACCCCACTCAGAGGGGAGCCTTGGAAGGAGGAAGAGCATAGGACTGAGCCAAAGCAGTCAGACTTGGTGAAAACTGATCGCCGTCAGCTGGACCCTTCCTCTCTGCACTGCCTTCTCTCGGGGCAGGCCTTACCTTCTTCGCATATGGGAATTCCAGCTTTCACAAAAAATCTTTTTGGTTTGTTCGAAAGGGTGTGAACTCCAACTAGAACACACTACAGACCTTCTTCGGGTTAGGTACTGGGGATGCAACCACCAGCACATCACAAAACTCCTGTGTTTCCCAGGGCACAGAGACACGTCCCACACAGCATCAGCTCATAATTAATGAGACAGGCTCCCTGCAGGGAGTGACTTTTTGGAGGGAGTCAAAGAAAGCTTCTCATTGGAAGGGAGACTGCCACAGAGCTGAACTAAAAACTAGGAAACAGTTAAGAAGAGAAAGAGGAAAGAAAAGGGGGAACTGGGATAGAGTTGATAAAGCTACCGCCTATAATGCCAGCTTCCCACATGGGTGCCAGTTTGTATTCCAGTTGTGCCATTTCCCATCCAGCTCCCCATTAATGGTCTGGGGAACCAACATAAGATGGCCCAAGTGTTTGGGTCCCTGCTGCCCACATGGGAGACCCTGATGCAGCTCCTGGTTCCAGCCTGGTCCAGTGCTGGCCACTGCGGACATCTAGAGAATAAATCAGTGCATGAAAGATTTTTCTTTCTCTCTCCACTTAAAGATTTATTTATATGAAAGTTGGAGTTACACCTAGAGATAAAGAGAGAAAGATCTTCCATCTGCTGGTTCACACCCCAAACGGCTCCAATGGCCAGGTTGAAGCCAGTGAGCAGCCAGGACGTGAACCAGCGGCTATATGAAAAGCCAGCATATTGAGTGACAGATTTGCGCTCTATGCCACAACACTTCCCCCCTGTAACTCTTTCAAACAAATATGTTTAAATAAAATCTGTGCAGTTTTTTCATAATATGCAATTTTCCATGAATCTTTTAGAATAACCTTGCATATGGTAAAACTAAAAGGAAATAGTAAACACCACATTTGGGCTGATGGTGGCCTCTGGGGATGGGGGACAGAGGAGTGTCTACAGGTGGGTGCTCAGGATGGGCCGTGTACCATGGCAGATCAGGATGCCTGCATTCCCTACCGAAGCGCTCGTGCATGTTCCAGCAGCTCGGCTTCCCATGTGGTCTGCTAACGCAACCTGGGGTGCAGATGAGGATGGCTCAAGGGCTTGGACCTCTGTCACACACACAGGAGACCCGGGTGGAGGTCTGTGGCCTGGCACAGCACCAGCTATTGTGGGCATTTTCAAATGAATGGTAGGTAGGTGATGTCTCTCTCTCTCTCTGTGCTTCTTCTGTCTCCTTTTCAAGTAGATGACAATAAACAGACATTAAAAAAAGATACGGCTATTCCTCCAGCTCATAAATTATACTAGTTGAGGTGGTATAAGGGCATTACTTCTATGCCACATCTATGTATTCATCATTATTATACAATTTTAGTTTTTAAATTGACTTTAAATGAAATTTTATTTATACACACTGGAATTTGAATTTCCGTAGCTTTTCTCTGTAATTTCACGTGTTAGGAATACAGTTAATTTTTCAACTACTGAAAAGCAGAGCAAGAACAAGAATGAGAATGAGAGATATCTTTCAGCCCCTATCTTTCAGCCCTTGGTTCACTCCCAGCCAAGGTTGGGCCAGGCCAAATCCAGGAGCCAGGAGCTCCATCTCCCATGGGAGTGGCAGGGGACCTGTTGCTCTAGCCTTCATTCACTGCCTCTAAGGGTGCGCATTAGCAGGAAGCTAGATCACAAATGGAGCAGCCCAGACTTGAACTGGTACTGCAATATGGGATGTAGGTAATGTAGGCAGTGGTTTAACCAGCTATGCCACATTGTCCGCAATTTTAATATTTTTTTTATTTGGAAAAAAAAAAATGACTTTCCTAATTTGGATTTAACACAACAGATGTCTGCCGAGCACTGTATTACTGTGAGCTGCTAGACAGTCGACAGATTCCAGGCTCGTGGCAGGTGTTTTGGTGAAAGCGGCAGCACGAGCAAGGGCCAGGGTCTCAGGAAGGGTACAGTACCTTGATTTTGGCACCCAGCATCTCAGCTGCGTCCTTCTCCCGCCGCAGGTCTTCCATCTTTTTCTCCTTTTCCTTCAGCAGCCTCATCTTCTCCTCTGCAACCAAGCTGTGGTCCTCTACAATAGCCCGCTTCTCAATCTCCAGTTTTTCTTGTTGTTCCCGCCAGTAATCATCCTTATCATCCCCTTCCTCCTCACCCTCTTCGCCCTCCTCCTCCTCCTCTTCCCCACCCCCGCCCCCACCACCACCTTCCCTCCGCTTCTCTCGCCTCTTCCTCCTGCCAATGGATCGTTTTTCCAGCTGGGCCTTGAGCCGAGCAATCTCTTCCTGGAATTCCCGCAGGAGAGCATCCTTAGGGTCTTCGTTGACCCTTGGCTTATTCTTAATGTTTTTGGCACGGTTGGCATATCTCAGAGTGGTCAGAGTCTCCTCTACGTTGTAAGAGGCGGGCCCCACGTTGGCCACCATCACCGTCTTGGCATTGCCACCAAGGGAATCCTGGAGGAGTCTGGTGAGCTTTGAGTCCCGATATGGAATGTGGGTGCTTTTGCCGTCCACCAGGGCTGAGATGACATTCCCCAGGGCCGAGAGGGAGAGGTTGATCTTGGTTGCCTCCTTCAGTCTTTCCCCCTGAGCGCCGGTCTTGGCTTGCCGCTCGCTGCCAGCGAGATCCACAAGGTTCAACTTCCCTACCCGGATGTGGTTTTCACCATCAAGGCCCACCTCGCTGCACTCGATGGTGATGACGAAGATGGCGTGTGAACGGGAGCTGTGCTCGTTCATGTTGGTGGCACCGACAGACCGGTTCTGGTTCCCCACGTTCATCACATGCTCGATCTCCTTCACGCTCTTGGTCACGAAGGACGACAGGTCCTTCACGTACACGCCCGTGTCAGGCCTCTCTTTGAGCTCCAGTCTCTTGGTCTGGTCCTTGGAGAGCAGATCTCGGATTTCTTCTTGGTAGATCTCTAGGTAAGAAGCCCTGACCAGGTACTGCTGATTCTGTGATCGAGAGATGTGGGTGAAGATGTGGTCAAATGAGTTAGGGATGACGCCTCTTTTCTCTGGGTCGCCACGGACGCCTTCCATTGTATAAGTTTTCCCAGTTCCGGTTTGGCCATAGGCAAAAATTGTCCCATTGAAGCCTTGCAGGACCGAGTCCACGAGCGGCCGGAACGTCTCATCATAGAGTTCAAACTGCTTGGCGTTCCAGTCGTAGACAGCGTCAAAAGTGAAGGTTTTGGGCAGTTCATGAGCCACTCCTTTGGGGTTCTTCACCGACACTTGTCCCAGCTTCACATCCACATCCACCACCTTGTCGTAGCAAGCCGCCTTTTCCTTACCATTCATGGGTCGGCAGCGAACCACCACCCTGACCGACTCGGAGCTTTTTAACTTTGACATGATGACTTCTGACTGGGGCAATGTCGAGGGCTACGAATCCAAGACGTCTCGGATGCTAAGGACCTGGAACAAAAGCAAAATACAGACAGTTGTCATCCGGGGCCTGTTGGACAGCAGGGGGACACGCATAAGGCATCTGTGTCTCGCTAACCTTTTGACAGTCACATTTAGTGCCTTCACTGTGCTGCACGTGCTCAGGGGACTCAGGGCTCAGAAAACAGCAACAACAAACTGCAGTCCCCTAGGACTGCTAGCCAGCCCGTCATCCCCTCAGTCAACCACTGGCTATTCCATACCACGGGCTGCAGCATCCAGACACTGCACATAAGCCTGGGTGACTTCCTGCCCTGTGGAACCATCACAACCTTTGAGTGGAGCACCTGGAAACCACAGCAGTTGTGTTTGTGAGAAAGCATCCTATGGACACACATCTATTCGGAGATGTATATACAAGGATGCTCATTGTGCTATCGATGGTAGCCACAGACTGTCCTGCTGGCACGAAATACACTGGACATACAGTAGTACAGCTGCCCGTTGTCATGTGCTAGGACCTCCTAATGATACCAATATCCGCAGAGACTCTAGTTCCTTACATAAAATGGTGAACTGTTTACACGTAATAAACGTACATTTCCCTCTGTGCTTCACATCATCTCTAGTTATACTATCTATTATACCTAATAAATGTAAATGCTGTGTCAATAGTTGCTATCCTGTATCATTTAGAGACTGGTAAAGGCTAAAGCCCAAGTTCAGTATACGAACAACTGATTTTTTCCAAGTATTTGTGGTCTGCGAGGCGGCACCCATGGACATGGAACACAGGCTTACTGTACAGAGGAGTCCTACAGAGCTATCAGGAATGAGTTCACAGTTTAAATGTAATCCTATATAACAATATGTTAAGAAGAGAAAGCAGATGAGGAACTCAGAATACTATAGCTTACATAGTGTCAAAAAGAAGTTACATCACTAAGGACAAACCCTCACAGAAGCAAAGGAGGTAATGAGGAGGTGTCGCCATACTTCTTTAAAGAAGATTTATTTCCATTGGAAAGGCAGAAACACAGAAAGAAGGGAAGACAGAGAGAGCTTCTGTCCCCTGGTTCACTCCTTGACTGCCTTCCCAGGCCACAAGCAGGGAGCCAGAAGAGAAGTGGAGAAGCTGGGAATCCCAGCACGTGCAAGGCAAAGATTTAGCCACGAGGCCATCACACTGGGCCCTGACACTGTACTTACACATCCCTGGTGGTAAGTGTGCTGCTCCAGGAAGGGGTGTTGATAATGGAGGAGGCTTTGCACTGACAGACAGGAAACAAACAGAAAGCTGCCTTCTGCTCAGTTTTGCTGTGAACCTTAACCTAGCCCCAAAGCAGACTCTACTGTTAAAAACAAGCAAGCAAATAGGGTTGAAATGGTGGGAGGCTTGATACACAGGCAATATCAGTAGAAGTAAAGTGTTAGATGTGGTACTAGGGGCAACTCAGCAGGCGAACCAAGGGCCTTGTGGCCTCAGAGGTCCAGAGAGACAGAGTACCAAACACTCCCTGAGAGCCTGAGAGAGAAACTTGCCAGTTTCCCTGTGGGTTCCTGGGGAGGAGATGAAATGGGGGAAGGGGGGCAGTGCTCTCTGTGCAACTGACAAGGTTTATTTCCAGGGTTCCAGTTCATATTCAAAGTAACACTTCAAACATAGCTCAGCTCAGACATCGGGTAAATGGTCAGGTTTGATATACAACTCATGTCACATGTGTGTAAGCAGGGAGTTCCAGGAGAGCCAACGAGGCACCAGGATCAAAGCACCACTGGTGTGAGACATTGATAAGGAGCACTACTTTGAATTGGATAATAGGCTGACTAAGCACAGATGTTCGCCATGTATCAGGGAAGCAGGAAAGCACATCCAAGGACTCGCTGGGGGCGAGAGTGCGCTCTGGGCGAGAGGCCGTCCGTCTGCTCTTTCCCGGAGCCTCATCGCAACAGGATCCCACAGGCCTCTGCTGTCCCGGCTACCCCGCTGGATGTATCCGACAGAAATTGATCACTCGCTTACATGGTCTCAGTTCTCTAGCTTATGGTAACACTTTCAGTTCTAAAAGCACCAACAAAAAGTGACATGTGCGAATTTTTTTCAAATGAGTAGGTGGCAGAAGGCATTACATGAAATGTATTTATTTAATCAATAAATTTAACAGACCTCTGTAAACAAGAAAACTGATATCAAATTTTTTGTTAGGATTTATTGATTTATTGGAAAGTGAAGACTTAGAGAGGGAGAGAGAGACAGAGAAAACTCTTCCATCCACTAGCTCACTCCCCAGATGGCTGCGACCAAAGGGGCTGGACCAGGCTGAAGACGGGAGCCAGGAGCCAGCAGCATTCTCTAGGTCCCCGTGTGGGTGGGCAGGAGCCCAAACACTCGGACCATCTGCCAGTGCTTTCCCAGGCCATTAGAAGGGAGCTAGATCAAAAGTAAAACAACTGGAACACAAACCGGCATCAACCAAATAAGATGCTGCCATTATAGGTGGTGGCTTTATCCGCAACACAATACTAGCACTGAAATCTTTTTTAAATTAATAAAAGAGTAGAGTCAGTGCTGTGGCATAGTATGCTAATCCTCTGCCTGCAAAGTTAGCATTACATATGGATGCCAGTTCACATCCCAGCTGCTCCACTTCTGATTCAGCTCCCTCCTTTTGGGAAAAGCAGTGGAAAATGGCTCAAATCCTTGGGTCCCTGTATCCAGGTGGAACACCAGGAGGAAGCTCCTGGCTCCTGGCTTTGGATTGGCTCAGCTCCAGCTACTGCAACCATTTGGTGGGGTGAACCAGCGGATGAAAGACCTCTCTCTCTCTCCTTCTTTCTATAAAATCTGGCTTTCACATAAGTTAACCTTTAAAAATAAATCAATGAAAAAGAATTTCATTTGGAGTTAGAAAAATAAGGGAGCAGAAAGAATGTCCAAATGGGTTTTTTTGGAAGTACTAGGAACAAACTGGCCCAAGAAAAAGGTATCTACAGCTTCCAAACTCCTGGAAATCTTAGCATGGGGATTTCTCTTAGAAACCCATCATTAGGGCCCAACACAGTGGCCTAGTGGCTAAAGTCCTCGCCTTGCACACCGGGATACCATATGGATGCTGGTTCTAATCCCGGCGGCCCCGCTTCCCATCCAGTTCCCTGCTTGTGGCCTGGGAAAGCAGTAGAGAGGTTTTTGGCTGGTTTTTTTGTTTGTTTGTTTTTTGGTGTTTTTTTTTTACACTTAAAAATATTTTATTTTGTTTTATAATATAGTTCCATAGGCTCTGAGGTTGCCTGTGCCCTTCCCCAAGGTCCCTTCCCTCCCCCCTCTGACTTCCTCTCTAGTTTTACATTGCACGTCCTTCATGAACAGTCTCAAGGCCATCACGCTGTTATTGAAGTGCTTCCCTGGGACTCTGTACGCACATGGGAGATCCAGAGGAAGCTCCTGACTCCTGGCTTCGGATCGGCTCAGCTCCAGCCATTGTGGCCACTTGGGGAGTGAGTCATCATATAAAAGAGCCTCTCTTATTCTCTGTAATACACTTTTTCAAAAATAAAATAAATCTTTTTTTAAAAAAAAAGCCAACCTTGAGGTTAGGCTACTTCAGTAACAGCTCAGGATATTTTTTGGTTCTCTAAAATGATTTTTAAAAAATTTTTTAGGGGCCCTACGCAATAGCGTAGTGGTTAAAGTCCTCGCCTTGAACACGCCAGGATCCCATATGGGCACCAGTTCTAATCTGGACAGACCCGCTTCCCACCCAGCTCCCTGCCTGGACATGAACTGGCACCCAAATGGGATCCTGGCACATTCAAAACGAGGACTTTAGCCACTAGGCTACGATGTGGGGCTCAAACATTCTCATTTGTTGATTCACTCCCCAAATGCCTGAGAGCGTGTGAGCTAACCGAGGGGTCAGATGCCCACAAGAGAGCCTGTTTCCATAAACACAGTGTTATTGGAATTTGGAATGCATTAACTGTAAAATGGCAGAGCTGAGTGGGCGTTCCAAGCAGGTAAGGTCCTGCGTGCCACACTGGGACACCCAGTCAGTACCGGCCTGCAGCTCCCACTTCCAGCGCCCTCCAGTGGACACGTGGGAAGGTGTTGGCTCAGTAGCCTGGTATCGGCCATCCTCCTGGAAAACCTGTCTCCCAGAGTTCCAGGCTCCAGGTGTGGCCCAGCACTGCCTGCCCTGGCCCTTGCACGCACCTGGGAAGGGAACCAGCAAACGGCAGCTCTATCTGCCTGTGGATCTGTTTAATCTCACAGTTAAGTAAACGAAAAAAATGAAACAAAACAATATGACCCACAAAGCTTTACTCTCTGGCATTTTACATTAACACGGATAAGTGGGTAGAATGAAAAAGCAAGCTGCAGCTGTGTAATTCAGAAATTTATAGAATAGGGCCCGGCGCGGTGGCGCAAGTGGTTAAGTCCTCGCCTTGCACGCCCGGGATCCCATATGGGCGCCGGTTCTAATCCCAGCGGCCCCGCTTCCCTTCCAGCTCCCTGCCTGTGGCCTGGGAAAGCAGTCGAGGACGGCCCAAAGCTTTGGGACCCTGCACCCGTGTGGGAGACCCGGAAGAGGCTCCTGGCTTCGGATCGGCATAGTATCGGCCCGTTGCGCTCACTTGGGGAGTGAATCATCGGACGGAAGATCTTCCTCTCTCTCTCTCCTCTCTGTATATCTGCCTTTCCAATGAAAAAATAATAAAAATAAAATCTTTAAAAAAAAAAGAAATTTATAGAATAAAGTACTTAGGGAGCCATATTTTTATATATTTTAAAAAGCAGAAAAGAGGGTCAGCATTGTGGTACAGCGGATAAAGCTACAGCTTGCGGTGCTGACCCCTACCCTATACTGGAGCAATGGTTCCTGCAAAGGAGCCCGAGAAAACAGCACAAGAGTTGGGGTTCCCGCCACCCATGTGGGAAACCAGAGACCTGGCTCCTCGGCTTGGTCTGGCCAGATCCAATTGTTGTAGCTATCTGGGGGCCGAACCATCTCCCCTCTATCACTCAAGTAAAT